AGCAACGTGTGCATACGAGATGTGAAAGGAGTGGTGTATAGACACACGTAGACATGCATACGAGTCATTCCACGAAATCGGTGCCTTTTGCATCCATAAGAAATAATCAAACATAGAATTAATATAACAAATAATTTGTGATTTTAAAACAAAATAATATGTATTCTTTCAACAATATTACATCAATTTAAAGTCAGTTAAATATTATTTTAAATAATTTAAATAGCATTTATGTTGATAAGGTTTTTGGCCTGTCCCTCAATATGAATTTTCCTTGTCAGCAGGACTTTTAATTTGCAAAATGAGGGGCAAAATGATACAAAAATCACATTTGCATATTGTTCTAAGTACAGTCTCATTGTTAAGCAATTTTATCTGTGTCCCCTGATTTCATGTCAGCCCTGTTACCCTCATCAAAAAATCCATTCAAGTGGCATCACTTCTTGGAGGTTACATCATCTCTCAACCAGGATTCCAACACTTCAAACACAAGCATGTTTTTCTCTCTCTTCTATAATGTTCTAGTTTTGATGATTTATGAGGTTTGACTAAGGGTTTGACTGTTACCATTATTAAAGTATAAATTAACAATTTATTAAATTTAATATAATCAATATCTACAAGTAATATCCTTTCAAAGTCTACAACATATGATTTGTGACCTTGACTATTATCTAGCAATTAACAAATTAGTTTGAAATAGTCAAACCTGTTACTTTTCAGAGTAACAGGTTTTGACATGTGGATAACATGGATGACATATTGGGTGCCACGCTGTTTTTAAAGGTTGTCTTTGTAAAATGCAAACATTTTTAAAGGCCATCCTGGGTGTATTATTGAGCTAATGCCTATATTATTCAGTGTGGTTGTCATTTGAGCATCTGTTAAATTTTTAGTTAGTATTGTTGCCATTTGCTGGTATTGTTGCTATTACTGTTGTTGTTGTTGTTAATGACCGGCATAAGATGATCAGTCTCAGTAAAACTAATTTTTTCCTATAACTCACTGTCAATAATGCATCCATGTTAATGCAATTACAAACGAGCAGTAAGGTCACTGCAGGCCCTGACCCCAATCTTGCAATGTTCAAGAAAGTCAAACCAAATTTCAGCATCACGATCTTGGTCTGGTTTCAGATGATCATAGGAAGACCAAGATTTGATCATCTTCCTTGCCTAATAATTGAACCAGATCAGTATATTTTAAGTTCTGTGAGGGGACAAAATCACACAGACAGGAGCATATTTATTTTGGACAGGTGCATAAAACAAAATGTCAGGGTGATATAACTGTCCTGATCACAGTGATGAAAACAACCTCAATAAGATTAAGAAAACTTTATTGATGCTTTCATGATGAGGCAAAACTAATTGTCTAAAAATTAATGTAATTTAAAGAAAACCTACTATGAAAGACATATTTTTAAAATTATGTTGTGATGAACTTGTATTGGCCATCTAACTAGGCAGCAAGTGGACTATTTAACCCTTTATTTTGTTCTTAAAAAGAATGATCCCTCTTCATGTTTAATGATACAGGCTCGTGTAAACACTGGTGAGTTGCCGGGCAGTTTTGGAGTTGTTCAGAAGCCTCTGTACTCCATGCATTACCACCTCTCAAACCCTGCACTGGACACCGGTCCCTCTGACTCATATGGATACCCCCACCATTAGTCACAGCGGGCAATACAGACACATACGCATACGCTTGACCCCTGGCCGGCGTATGTGCGTCCCACGCAGTGTACGCTTGACCTCATGTTGAAGACCGTCCTCACCAGCTGCCCCCCGACAACTGCTTGCTTAGTGCCGTATGCAAGGGCAGGACAGTAATAGGCGCTGTGAACTGCCGTACCATGATGCATAAAGGAAGATAAAGGCATGAAGATGAAATAAGGGGGATGATGTACTTTAAGTTGCATGTGCTTCAGTCATTGCCTTATAAACAACTTATTTTAACACATATATGCAAGTACAGATTAGCATGGGCTTAACCCTGCAGACCAAGCCAGCAACACTCTGTGAGCTACACTGCAAAGAGATAATCAGCGCATTAGTGATGTGGGATTGGACACAGGTCACACGGCCCACTGTAGAGACTGATGTAATCACTAGGGCCCTTAATGAGGATGTCTATTTCATATGAAGTAATGGGGTTGGAGTGACTAACATTCAGTGTCTGCATTTTAAGAGCAATTAACACTGCAGTGATGTAAGGGTTTCATGTGTCATCTGCAATGTCACCTGAACTTACCCAGAGATCATATTAGTAATGTTATTTTGTCGTCGCTTGGAGAACGGGGTGGTAATCACTACAGAGCTTAGTCCAAGTCTGAACAGTTTGTCCAAATATACATGTGTATGGTGAAAACGCTATACGCTACACAAAGTCCTCATGATCTTTTCATAGACAGCAGCCCAATACGTGTGTGTCAGGTTTTGGACATATGGTTTTGGATTTTAAATCACAAAAATGTGTGAATTGCATTTAATAATAAAATAATAAACCAAGTGACTTCTGTAAACATCTGCTGCTGGAGTTTTTCCTCAGGAGTAACCTTACTTTTCTTAGCCGTTTTTTAAATTACTTTAACCAACTGCATGGTCTGAAGGTGATTTTTAATGGCGAGACAGTTTCCCTCTCACAGGTGTCCAAGGTAACTACAGTCAAAATGAGAAGTTTATCACATTAACTGTGGTCACTAAGTTTGATAACCAGAAGTTAACCAAATAGGTTTAGTCTGTTTTAAACTGCAGTTAAATTATTCAAGCCTCTTGACCTCCAAGACATTCTGCTGCCATGAACAACATTTTATGAAAACAACTGAACAGTAAACTGTTATAGGAAGTTTGTTTATTAGGCTCCAAACACTGTTACAAAATTATTCAACCCCCAAAACTTAAATTTTGAGAATTAGAGTGGTGTTTTGCTTATAAGTCTTGCCTTTTTTTGCACCAGACATACCGCTGATCAAAAAGTTCCAGTTTGTTCACATCACTCCAAAAAACAAAAATAAACAAACAACAACAACAAAAAAAACACTGTCCGAAAATTATACACAAACATCAATATCAAGTAAGACATTCTCAATCTTAAACACAAGAAGAAATGAAAAAAAAATGTATTATGTAACTTAACACATACCATCAAAATTATACATTATATAGTAAGAATTCCACTAATTAGAGAGGCATTCATATTACACATTAAGCAGCAGACTGTTGCTTGACAACTTGACATTTTCACAAAACTGGAAAAAAAATGTTTTGATATCCACAAGCAAATGTACATTATGCAATATGTGCGTGTGTGTAGACAGAAATTGTAACAAATACTGTGTCTTGAGAAAAAATGGTTAAGTATGTTTGCAGTGGGATTTCCATATTTCTGTATTTTTTCTGTAGTTTTGCTAGTATTAGCAATTTGGCATATTAGTATTTCATGTCTTGATTCAGTCAAAGGGCATATCCAGTTGATAAATACTGTTGTAAAGTGCGGCTATGAAAGAGTGCTCTGCGTTTTGCAAGGTTATGTGACAATTGTTGTGTTTTAGGAAAATGACGTGATTCTGCAACTCCATAAGAAAATATTTAGAATGTAACTATAACCTGCTGACAGTGGCAGAATAAATCAAAAGTCTTTGATCATTACCCAAAACTAATTTGTTGACATATGTTATTATCTTGGTAAACACCCGCATACAAGTTCTCTTTGATCTACACAGCTGGTCTTTCATGGGAGTCCCCGTCCACTTTTCAGTGAGTACACTGATTCAAGTTTCACAAACCTCGTGTACACAAAACTTACTTCATTCTGAAACAGATATTTACCTGAAGTTTAGCCAGTGAGTCAGATGTGGATTCAGTTACTGCTCTGACAGATTCAACAAGTTCATCCAGTGAAGGATTCATCATTCTGATTCAAACAGGTAACTCCTGAGTTTGTGAGACTTTTTGAATGATTCGTTCGAAGAACCAGCTCCTTTCTGTATCGAACTACACTTTTCACGTCACTCATGTTTGCTTGCTTGCATCCCACAAGGTAAACTCAACAGAAAGGTGCTTTTTCTTGCAATTAATTTTAATATTAGCCTATTATTTTTTATCTAATTAGATTGCAAACTCGCATAAGGTTTATTTTGCTGTGCACTGAAAGATTCTACCTCCTAAAAGAGGTATAGGAATCACTTCTCTGATGCATTTAGTTATTTAATATTTATCCAGTTCACAATAGAAGTGTATAATAATTAAGGTTGTATCCATTGATAATTAAGTTAAAAGTATTTTCATTTCAGTTGTGGATATGTGGGAATCTGTCACCCCCAATAAACTAAAGCCAAGTACAGCAGAGCAAAACATGTCGTTTAAGTTGGATTCTGTTCAGGAATGGCAAAATGAGGACCCACAATTTGCAGATGTTTGTAAAGTTATCTGCTTGGGTGTGTGCAGTATATGCTTAACTCTGTGTTGGGTGTGTGTAGGGGGGTTGGTCTAAAATATCTTGCTGCTTTGGCATGTGTGGGGAAAGATATATCAAAGGACGTGAGATTGGAAAGTTGCTGGTTAATTACTATCAAAGAGAATATTACTGTAAAGTCAATATGAAGTTCAAATTTTCTTTTTTTCTTTTAGCCACTTAGGTTATTCGATAATACTGCAAGCCTGCAATAGGGTCTGGTTTCATTTTGGTATAGGACTCCCAGTTTTTACAATCAAGTCCATTTCTAATTGACAAATGAAGGACAGGACTTAATTTTGTCGAAATGTCACTTTAGTATAAACTTGGTTGTGAATGAGTATTCATGTAGGTGTGCATGTAAACGCCCATGTCTTGAACTCAATAGTTTAGTACACCATGTCCACATTATAAAGCTTCCCTTTATGGCGCATTATGGGTTGTGGCATAGGACAGAAGAAGGATGACACTTGACTGAGGCTCTCTTTAAAGGTACAAATGTCCGCACTTGCCGCTAACCTTGACGACCTCAGTAAAGACCTCAGTCTGGCAGTATGACCTCTCCTTATGCAGCAGTACAGTTCTGCCCAGAGCGAACCTTTCAACGGTAAGACGGGAGTGACTTTGTGCCAGTTTGTTGGCCAGTTCTGAAAAGCCATTTGTAAGGTCACTAGGTTTATCTTGACCACTTACTTGGGCATGCACACATGGTGCATGTGGTTTTATTTAGTTGTTTCATTTGTAAATAGATATGAGCACATATCGCAAAGCACCGCGTTCCTGTTTCTGTGGTCCAGAACAGTGTGTTTGTTCTTATTCTCCTCATTAAAGAGTTACTGTCATGCTGGAGGTGCTAACAGTTGTGTCTGGTTCTCCAGCTGCTGCCTGGCTATGATATTTATAGGTGTGGTGTTCTTATGGTGACAAAGAATGCGTTTTGTGCAGTTTAAGGTGAACTGTCTAGATACTCAATCCTCAGCCTGCTTGTTTTTGTTAGCTCTTCATGCACTTGCTACTGGACATTTGTTTCTGTGGATCTGAACAGAGTTCAAATCTAAATAAAGCTGTATTAATAGCTAGGGATTAAATTTGCATGCTTGTATCGTTAATGATGTTCTAATGTAGTATTCCATTTCAATGGAGTATTGGCACCTCTTTAAAAAGGCAATTGAAATACTAGTTTCATATACTACATGCATTTGTAAATACCAGCTTTCCTTTGCTGCTCTGATTATAAATCTCTTAACTAATAAATTATGGTAAAATAGGTTAGCCTATATAAAATCAATGACACCATATTTTTTCTAACGAGGTGCCCACTTTCTTTAATTTGGTATGTTGACAGTAATCACAGGGTAAGGTGGGAAAAATCAATGCTTTTTAATCTGTTCATGTTTGATTATTCAGTTTTTCAGGTCTGTAAAATTCTCAAAAATATATTGTGTAAATTAACTTAAATGTAAAAAGATTGTTAATCTAACACATGTAAATTTCAGTTGAAAGCCATGCAACTGGTATAGTCATGTAAATCAAGTAATTTGCTTCCCAAAAAAACTGGTGCTAGTTGTCACTTTCTGTGTAGGCACGCAATTTTAAGTTTAACTTAACTTTACTTTACTGCTATCTTTTCAACCCTACAGGTTGTTCAAGAAAAGAAAAAAAAGATGTTCATTTATGAGGCATGTTTAACTTATTATATAAGGAAAGTGGTCACAAATGAACCTGCTCTTACACATTATTTATTGAATTTTCAGCTAAATTTGTTTTAAAAAATTGACAATTCATTAAACAAAAATTGAAAAAAAAAAATCATTTTTTTTAATGTGAATTGAATTGGAAAGTAAAAATGGATTTAATGAATAGTGTAATTTAAAACACATGTGACGGCTTAATTATTAGCCAAATTTGCCCTGATTTGATTTTGATTAAAATACACCTTTAATTATATTTTTGATCCTTGCCTGAATGCTAGTGTGGTTTTATTGTTCATTTGTTTACCCAACATCTAAGGCAAAAAATGACAAAGTTGGAATTTTACTGAAGGATAAAATTCACAAAAAAAGTTTTAAACCACTGTACAAAACCACTGTTAGAGAAAACATGTGTAATTGATGTAAAACCTTATCGTTACCATAATATATCTTTGTGTCATCAAGCGGCCTCACTTACCACTATGTTGTTAGGTCTTAGCCTATGAGCACATGTGGGTATACCTGCAGAGATGGTTGTTTTTGTGGCTGATCCAGCTGCTATCAGTAGGTCTAATCTACACCACAAAACAGGAGAAGCAGACGTGTAAAAATAACATCAACAGAGGTTCTCAAAATAAAATGAACATGCGTTTCTTTTTAAGTTAAATGCTCCATCTTTTATTTTATTTTTTTACCGAATCAATTAGATCATCTTGGAAAGATAAATAATCAAATGGGTGAAAATGCTAAGCAGATTTTGTTATCGAGTAATATTTATTTGCCAAGCAGTTAATGCACATTGTCACACAATTGAATATTGAATATTGAATTGAATTGAATTGAACTGAATTGAATTGCATTGCATTGCATTGCATTTGAATTTGAATTGAATTGAATTGGAATAAAATCTACTATTAAAAAAACAAAACAATGCATGACTATTCCTTATTGACAAGCAGACATTAATGTTTTTAATACTTTTGAAAATGAATAAATAACGAGTGCATAGTGGAATAAGTCCATATTAACTTTGGGACAGTTCACTCCTTTGCCACATTTAATAGAATTTGGGGCCATTCACAGTGAAAGCATGCGTCGAGGAGAAATCATGGGGGCCACCATTCTTCACCATTGTCTGAGCTACCATGTCCATCCTGCAGCTCCAGGTTTGAGGGATGAGGGAAGGGTCGGCAGATCCCTTTGAACGTTCCCTGGTCTCTGATTAATGAAGATAGCGGAGAAGTCCCTCTCACTTGTCTCCCCAGATTGTCTCCTCTGTTTGTTTTGATTGCATTTTCATCGCTGGATGTGCCCAACCTGTCAGGAGACAATGGGCAGCCCTGTTAAGCTGCGACTTTTGACCCCGTCCTGTCTGCGAGGGGCCTGGTCTGTGTTTAAGAGGATGCAGTGCAGCCTCTCCCTCAGGCAGGATGCATAACTCCCCCAGTAACCAGACACCCACCCACAGCTTCCAAAGAAGCTAGAGATGAAACCCACCCTACACATATACACAATGAAAAACTACAGTTGACTATTCTCTGAGAAGTTTATGCCATTTTTAAAGGAATCGAAAACCGAAGCTAAGCCCTGAAATCTTTTGCGGTTTTTATTACCCGCTACGATGAAAAGCACGATTTCTTGGCTAAATTGGGGGATGTGATGGCTGATTTGAGACAATGACAGATGTGGCAGCCACAGTGTTAAAGCAGAATTCAGAGGAAATCTGAGCACATTTTGGCTTCAGTAATTTGACGGAGAATGACAGTTTTCTTTTGCTGCATGACTCTAGAATTACTCATTCTCAGGTTGCACTATTTGTTTTATCAGGCTTTATGAGTGCTATTATGTGTGATCAAATTAATAAGTGAACATAAATTATCTAGATGTTTAATTAATGAAACGATCATTCCCACTTTAGCTGATGATGGATCAGAAATCTGCCCATAAACTTCACCTGTCATTTCTGTGGGTGGAAATCAAAGCTGTATATTTTCACTCATGGGTGCTGCACCTTTTGTGAGACCATGATGCCATTCTTGGCTGAAAATCTCTGTCACCCATATTGTATTTCTATCTGCCGTCTAGCATCCGTTCATCCTTCGTTTTCTGACCTTTTGCCGAGCTTGCATCCTCACTCGACTTTTTAATTGTATAATTCCCCTGGCCCAGGTTTGATGATGATGACGATGATGATGATGATGTCATGACACCAGGGCTGTCAACCTAGCTCTCAGTTCTCAGCCAGGGATCTGAAACATGTCCTGTCGCAATGTGTGACCTGAGACAGCAGCTACTCAGCACCTGCTGGAGATCTATATAGTCCTCATGCTCTCACCAACCTGTAATGTTGACAATATTAAATGCAATAACATATCAATGAGAGAGAGACACATGTAATCCCTATACAGAGAGCTGCTGGAACCTTGTGTAAGTTATTAGCCACTACATTCTCTGACATAAGAGAAGTAGTATCTTGTTTTGTGGTTTTGTTGAGTGTGATAGCAAAAGCTAAATCTAAGCGTACTGACAATTGTAGAGTCATTTAGCACTCTCAGAGAACTATAAATGAAACACAGTCCTCCATGATATATGATATAGATGACATACCCCTGTGACATAAACACTTTGCTTAAGTTGCTTCCGCTGGTTTATTGACCGTTACATCTTACTGAGTTGTTTATAGGGCTTTTTAGAGAGATTTAAAGCACAAGGAACATTTTAATGTTGTTTTCTGTATTTAAAATGGTATTGCTTCCATAATACCTATTAGAATTAAAGGGATAGTTCACCCAAAAAATTTGCTGTTAATTTACTCACCCTCAGGCCATCCAAGATGTAGGTGACTTTTTTTTTTTCTTGAGTACAGCAGTAAAGATTTTTAGCTGAAACGTGGTCCTTGATTCATAAAAAGTCAGCAGCTGCCTGTTTTTGAGAAAAAAAAATATATATCAAGGAACACAAAATGAATACCCGTGGCTCCTGGCAATATATATCGAGGTCTTAAGTAGCGAAACGTTCGATCTGTGCAAGAAACTGAACATTATTTACAACAGTATTGTACAATATTATTGAACTATCCCTTTAATCCTTAAACACTAATTTAATAACACTGTTAAATGTAATCTTTACAAAATATCAAAAATTATAAATTTTTATGCTGTTCCTTAATGTTGTAATGCTTAAATCCACTTGTTGAAATTTTTTTTATTTATTTGCTTGTTTATTTATTTTGTTTTCAAGGTTTAACTTTAGTTTGACATAGAATCTTATGGTATTTATAGTCCTTATGGTATCTATCAGATTCAGTGCATCCTTACTTAGAGGGATTGTTTTTGTTTCAGCATAAAAAAAAACAATCAAAAGTGCACCAAACCAATACTAAAAATATTATCTACAGTGATGCTGCCTTTTTATGATATGACAATTGAATTCTGCAGGAAATAATTAATAGCCATTTTTAATATATAGTTACATTGACTTATGTTGCTTTTATAACTTTGTAACATCTATATAAAAAAAAACAAGCAAAAATTGCAAAGCCTTGAAAGTTGCAAAATCATCTCAATGTTATAACCAGTTCTGTTTATCTGTGCAAGACCCCACCCATTTTATAAAAATGACATACAATCAATAAGTACCCGATGTTCTCCATAGCACCATTCTCTTTTATTGTATGTGTAATGGGTTACTGATTCATTAATACAATTAACTATATGAATAGCTGTAAGTAAATTAGGCCCCAACTTTTATTTGTATTTGCTTACTCCCTTAAAAGCCCCTCGGATTGTTCATGTTCAAAGTGTAAAATGCAGTGGGGTTTAGATTTGAGGTAGGAATGCTGAGGTATGGACCTGTGGACACACCGTGACAATTGACGCATTGGGCTTGGCATTTGTGCGTCTTCCAGTGTGCCAAATGACAATATCTATGAGGCTTAAAGTAAACATTGGGGTTGAAAAAGCTTTTATCCCCAGTGACAGGCCTGGCAGCACACCGTTGTCCCAGTAATTCAACTCTAGCATTCACTTTGTGCCACACCTCTTCAGCTGAACAAAGACAAAGAGTATATTCCCTGCTTTTCTTCTGAAGAGCTATGTTTGGGGAACCAATGGAAAGAAAATGGAAAGAGGAATTTTTCATTGTATTGAAGCTGAATTCCAAATGCTTCTTTTGCACCTCCCATTTTCCTCCTCTAGCAAATGGGAGTAGTTTTAATAGGTTTTATTACATTGTAAAAAGTGAACATGTATTTTGTCCCTTAAAGGGATAGTTCACACAAAAATGAAAATTGTGTTCAGAACTTAGCCTTATGTCATTCCAAACCTGCATGCATGTTTAGAAGAATGTTGAGGTTAAAACCCAATGGCCCCAATTGTTTAAAAATAAATAAATAAAATAAAAAATGCAGGAACGTTTTCATTTTTGGTGAAATATCACCTTTAAGGAACACATTGTGTGATAGTTCATCCAAAAATGAAAATCCTGTAATTTACTCACCCACAAAAACCAGTATGAATTTCTTTCTTCTGCTGAACACAAAAGGAGATATTTCGTAGAATGTGGGTAACCAAAGAGTTGACGGCAGTCACTGACTTCCATTTATTTATTTTTTTGGTTACCCACTTTCTTCAACATTGTTTGTCTGTTTGTTTGTTTGTTTGCTTGCTTTATGTTCAACAGAATATAAAAACTCATACAGATACTCATTGAGGGTGAGTAAACTCATACAGATACTCATACTCATTGAGGGTGAGTAAATGACAACACAATTTTCATTTTTGGGTGAACTTTCCCTTTAAATACTATAAACTGAAGTTTATCTTCAAAGGCTGCCATCGAAGTGTCAGTTTACAGTGATATCAAAGACTAGTGTTGCTTTGTATCTCTGTCTAGGATACAGTAATCTGACATCCTTCGACCTTAAAGCATTCAGCATTTATTAGGCATGCCTACATAGCTTAGTATATTAATATCTCCCCACCTCACAGAATGTAGGGGAATTCTAGCCCCACTCCCGAGTGCCAACGTTAGATTATGGGTTGACACCCCAACTCCCAGACGCTCACACACACACACACACACACACACACACACACAGCAATATAACAAAGAGTGAAAAATTTAAGGGGGTCTGAATACTTTCCGTACCCACTGTATACACACAAACACACACATTTTTGTTTCTTGAAATAAACGTTATCTAAAATTAAATAAAAATATTTAAAATAACTTATTTTATTTCAGCTAGTTGCTGAGACAGCATTTCAAAAATAACTAAACCTGAAATATAAATGAATTAAAAATATTTAGACAATATTTATATTTACAAAAATATTTACCAAAAAACTAAAACTATTAAAAATGACAAAAACACACAAAGTTACTAAAATGAAAATGAAAATTGATAATATAAAAATTAATTCAAAATATTAATAAAAACCCGAAGCTACCATCTAAAATTACTCTAGCGAAAACCTGGCAACACCCTTACAAATCATTTACATTTAAACCATTTTAACCACAACACCCTCCAAAACCCTGGAAGTGAGTTTTGCATGGCAAAGCCAACACTCCCATTTTCTTCAGATAATTTGTTTCCAATGCAATACCTGCAATTTTGGAAATTTATCTTAATACTGGTATTCTTTTTTCTTAAATTTTTTTTTTCGTCACCTGAGAAACATTTTACATAGTAATTCTGCCAAGTGTATCAGGACACGATTTCTGACTTAAATTTGGTTTCCATCTTTTTAGATTGAGAGAACCAGCAGCAGCCTGTCTCTCATGGGCTGAAGGTTCTTTCCTGGCCTCCATGTCACAGGGCCAGGGCTCTCAGGGTACAGATATCCTCGGACAAGACGTCCTCAGCCAGCTGCTGGAGATGCTGGACCAGTGAGTTATGAAGTATCTTACAAATTCACTCTTACTTTAAGAGTAAGTAAGTACAGGTGAACACAGTAGTCCCCCACTGTGTTCACCTGTAAAGTGTTATAAGTATAAATATACATAAAACAGTTTTAAGTCGGTTTACTGGTTTCTGTTCTAGGTCTGCGCTACATTCAATGCAGCCTATCGAGCTCAACTTTTCCGAGGGCTCTGCAGTCGGATCGGCATCTAATACAATACAGATTAGCATGGACTGCATCACGATGCGTGGGCCTGAGGAGCCACTTACAGTGAGTGCTTCATTTCACTCAACACATCACAAACAGCTTTTCACATATTTTCACATTTAAAAACCGCAATAACAATAGTTTGTTTTTTGTTATGGCAATCCAAAGTGCAATAATTTCACTTCTCTGATGGATATTGCAGTGTCATTACGATCAGAGGTGTTACTGTGAAACCCTTTCTTGACGCATTTCAAGATGGCAGATTATGCAAAATGCAAGTTCTGACCTTCTTTAATGAATAAATAGTCTTAAGTATTCATTTTAGTTAGGTTTCATTTTTTGAAAAGGAGGAGCCAAAGCAGATTGTTGATAACTGGCTATTGACTCCCCCAAATATATACCTCCCCATCGTTTCCTCAATATGCGCGTCATTTTTGCTGTAGCTGAGTAGTGAGTAGGTATACTCTCTAAGCACTGTTTCGTTATGTGGCGACTAACAAATGACGACAATAGAAGCAATCAAAACCAACAAAAGAGCAATAATATGCAAGTGCTATATTATTATAGTGTTATATTATATAAAGAATATATAAAGAAACGTACAGTATTTTGTCTAAGCAATAATAAAAGGACACATTTAATTTATAATTTGTCTTAAATCGAATCGAATCGTGAAATCAAAATCGTGAATCGAATCGAATCGAGAGTTGAGTGAATCGTTACATCCCTACTCCTATGCAATGTAAAAGTGATGCCAGCGTATACATATAAATGTATGCATATGAAAATGTATACATATAAATAGCACTCTAGACTGTTTTATAAATTTACCATTACTGTAACTTCACATAGCACAAAACTCAGCAAGTCAGTTTGAGCGAATACAGACAAGGTGATTAATGTTCATGAACCCAGCAGCTCATTAATACCTAGTGTGTTTTATATTTTAATTAGTAGTAGAATTCTAAGTATTATTATGATCATGTCAGTATTATTGTTAGACCCCCCCCCCCTTTTTTTTACAGAAACACTGAATGCCCAACAATACCAACACCACTCCTAAATTCAGTTAAAATGACAAATATGCATTTATACATGGTTAACAAGTTTTAATTCTAATTACTAAAGTTCTATCATTAAATAATGCTTGATTATCATAATATTATATTATAATGCTTTATTGACTGATGTTAAGAGTGTACTTTCAGATATTTAAAAAGCTGTGCCATTTTACAAACATAAGCTTCTATTCTATTGCCAAGTTGTGCGTAGAGGGTTGTTTAGATATTTTTAAATGAACAAAATCAATTAATACAAAATATTTAATAATCTTTTCAATATTTGTTTTTCTACTACTTGCAGTGCTGAAGCATTTAATTGTTGAATTCTGTCAAAATCCCCTGCAAAGTTTAAAGCAAATGTACATGGGGATTTTTTAAAACCTCCCACTGAATGGTCTCAGACGGGCTTTTTTTTTTTTTTTTGATGGGAACAGTAGATAATTAGATTTTTAATACAATAAGAACTGTTTGAATTTTTGTAATAGTCTTGTCCAATTGTTTTAGTGCCTTTTTTATATTAGTTTGCCTAAATTGCTTTTAAATATTGAACAACAGTTAAACATTTTTGGAATGTGTATGAAATTTGTAAGCAGATTACAACAATTATCTTATCACTTATGAAACTTGGTTTTGTTTAGTGTGATCACTCAAGTGAATAATTTCAGTAGTGGGGAATTTAGTGGTAAGCCCCAGCAAAAACAGTTACCTTGCACTAGCATGTGGGGGTGTTACTGTTTATTGGGGGTGTTTATGGGTTTTCCCTGGTCATTCTGGATAGTTTTGGTGGCAACAAAGTCAAAAGGTATGTCCAGATCCAGATGAACACGCAAAGTATAAAATCCTGATGACAATAGCCTTGCTTTGCTACAATGGAACATCCAATCTGAAGTGCTTCAGATGTAGCATTGTGTCATGCAAGAAAAATATATATTTTTTTTGGATGATCATAAAAATCTAAGGGACTGAAGTGGATCAATGAATTATGAAGATGGAGATTTACAACAATACGACACATCAGACAGTTTCTTCTTTTATGTGAGTTAGCATTTTTCTCCTTCCATACTCTGGACAAGATTTGTTTCTAGGTCAAACTACTTTTCTTCTAAAGTTTGCTTTTTGCTCTTGTGATCTTTAACACTGAAATTTGATGTAGGTTGTGCAAAATCTGTATATCCCTTGGGCAGATTCTATCAACACGTTTAGTTCTAATATTGTGTTTATACACAACAGAAGAGCAATGGAAAGTTTGACATTAAGTGTATGACCTGTAGCTGACGTTGAGGCCTTGTAGGATTTCTCTGGGCGCGCAGGAGAATTAGGTGGTTGTGGCTCCCCTCCCAGCAGAGGAATGCAGTTGTCCGGTAGTAAAGATGGGGGAAAAAAAGTGAGAGACTGAGCAACGCTTTGCTTCTTTGGCCCTGAGGGATTATCTTTTCTCTTGATCTAGGGATTAATACCCCCCATACAACACCACCCGCCCCCATCTTCCTCGCAGTAAAGATCGGGCGTGGTGCGCAGCATGGCACGCTAACATCCGTCCCTTGCCAGCTAGCATTCGTGTTGATTGAAAACCTGGAAACTGTGGCAACCTGCCAATCGTTTGCTGCAATGATGCTCATTAAACTTTGAAGAACAAACTTTCAGTGAAAGACAGCGGTTTGCATAGTTGCCGTCTCGTTAAAGGAATAGTTCACCTAAAAGTGAAAATTGTCTGTTTACTCACCCTCGTGTCGTTCCAAACCTGTATGACTTTCTTTATTCTGTTGGTATTTTGAAGAGGGTCCCACTTTATATTAAGTGGCCCTAATACCTGTGTGCTTACATAGTAATTAGATGTGATACTGGCCACTGCTGTGTAACATCAGAGTAATTACATTTTAAATCCATAGGAATTGTTTACTTAATATAAAGTGTAACACTTTCTTTACCAAAAAGTGCTGTTAGTCCTGTTACACATTTGTACTTTCATTACCAAAAAGTGTTGTTACCAATGTCCTGCACTGTAAAATCTAATTAGTCGGGCTTACTTAAAAAAAGCATGCAAACCGATTGCTTTGAAAAAACTAAGTAAAGAGAAATAGGAATAGTATGTTGTACTGACAAATGCTTAGTTAGTATAGTTTACTTACACGAGAGTTCTAGTAACTAAAAAAGAACTGTAGGGGGTACTTGATCCTTTCATTTAGGTTTGCTCATGACAGCATAGCTACTCACTGACTCCCAGAGTGCATTGCGGCAGAATAAATTATGCAGTTGCTTTGTTTTACAGTTGTTGATTTTATTTGCCAATTTTATTTGCTGTCTTGTGTCAGTAGTAGCACAACAAAAAGAGCAAATAAAATGGTTATTGTTACAATTAATGAAAATACATGAAATTGAATTGTTACCATTGTTGTGATTCACGTGCTGAATGTTTAAGTCTGTGTGTGACTTTAGCATATGACCACACACCATTTAAGAATTATATAAACCCAGTTAAAGGCATCTCAAGGTATTTATGAAAAATGAAATTTGAATAAGTTCATTAATAAACACACACAATAAAACATACTAATGCTTTAATTAGATATAATAATAATTTAATTAGAAGACAGTCACCTTCTAAAAGCAACCTATTTATTACTTTTCTTCCCTCGAAATCAAATAACTCTGACTTCACGATGCATTACTGCATTAGCAGAAAGAAATTTATAGTAACATAAATAAAGTTCCAAGTGCCCAACCAAAGGGAACGCTAATCACTATAATGGTGAGTAAAAAAAAAAAAACACTCAATTTATGAAGTTAGCTTATGTGATGTTCTCTCAGATATATCAGTTGTATTGAAAATTCAGCATTCAAGATGACTTTGGGAAACGAGTGAATGCAACTAGTGAAAGATAACTGCAGACATGGAGGAAATGAGTGAAAAGTCTATTAAGACTCTTTTTCTTTTCTTCGCTTCTGTTGTTATGTTGCACATTAGCAACATATTATGCCTCTCACTGGTTTATTAATGTCATTGGTTCCTTTGTGGCAACTTGAATATTTTAAGTAAGTGTCACTCAAAACAGTAAGTAAATTGTTTTATTTGCCTTGAAAGTAGCTGTAACTTACAGTTTTTTACGATTGCTTACACACTAAAATTAAACTTTTCCAACAATTAGCATTCAGAGACCAGATATAATTTTTTATATTTTTTTACTAGTGGGTGCAGGACACTATAGTTCATTTATGTAAGTGAGGATAGCAAAATAAAGTAAATTGTGATAAATTATACCCAAAAATTCTTCATACAGTGGACTACCAGTAAAATTGATACAAATTTGGGTCCAAAAATTATTCAGACCGAGTCTGGGAAAAAACTGAAGTTGAGGTTTTCATGAAGCTGGGTGACAGCATGCCCAGGAGACTACAGGCTGTCATTGAGGCTAAGGGTTGCCCGACTAAGTATTGATAGTTGTGTAAATACTGTCATACTAACAGCTGTCTGAATATTTTTTGGTTGATTGTAATCTATTACATACCTTTCTATCAGAATTATCTAGCGTTATCAAGATGAATTTGTTCTGACACAGTGTAACTCTGAGTTCTTGTCATATTTTATTACCATTTTCTAAACTATAGCGAATAAACTGTGATAATGTGAGAAATGTTGAAGGTGTCTGAATAAATTTTGGTTTGACTGTATCTATTTGATAAATGAAGTTAACCAACTAACATTATACATACCCTTTTGGTTTCTGTACCCAATATTTAAAAAATGTACAAATGCAATAAAAATATCGGTATCGGTACTCGGTATCGGCAAGTACCAAAAATAAAAGTATCGGTATCGGGCGAGTACTGGAAAAAGTGGTATCGGTGCATCCCTAGTAGATACTATGTACCAATGTGTACTTACACTGTGGTTACATACTATGTACACATCTAGTTACTATGTAAGTACACAGGTATTAGGGCCACTTAATATAAAGTGGGACCTTGAAGAATATTGGACCCGAATGACTTCTTAAATGTACAAAAAATACTGAGACAGAATTTTCCTTTTTGCTGAACTATCTCCTAATAACCAGCTTAGCAGTGATCGGTGAAGTCCTTCACCAAAAGAAAAAGAATTAAGAAAAAAGTATGCCGCCTTCATTAATTATTGGATGATGTGCTCTGTTTGGCACCCTCAGGGTCCTCTGTGTATTATGCAGGGGTGTTGTGTTTTAATCTGAAATTGCTCTTTCTTGGGTAGGTGTGCTTTCTCTGTAGCTGCAGGGCAACAATTTAGAGCAGCACCTGCCGCTGTGACTGACTGAGGCTTGTGTCCTATTCTGTCTGTGTGAGATCGGGGATGGGGGAGGAGAAAGAGAGGTGTGGAGTCAGGTAGAATGGAGGAATGTGACAGAGGAAAGGTTAGGTCCTGACATCAAATAGCTCAGCTAATATCATGGTGAGATGGAGCAGCTAAATGTAGTGAAGTCACAGATTTATTGTTTCACATTTTGTTATTAATGTCAAAAGACATTTAGCCCAGTGTAGCCTGATCTAAAGTAGTGATGCTCAACCAGGGGTCCATATAAATTGCAGTTCAAAAGTGTGTTTTTAGTTTTGTTCCGCTTGTATGTATATGCAGCCTTATATTATTTTGTGTAGGTGACACCAACCCATATAAAGACTCCAGACAGAGGTGGATTTAAGCCCCACGGCTTTTACTTGTATCATTCACACTTTTTCACAATAGTACAATGCACAGTGTTGCTTTTATTTTTTATTCGTTTATTTATTTATTCTCCCATCAAAACCAGTATCAAATGAAATTAGGTGACATAATAACGTCTCGGTTACGTATGGTAACCCTCGTTCCCTGAAGGAGGGAACGGAGACGTCACGTCGGATGACCGACGAATTGGGATCTCGCTTAGAGAGACCAATCTACTTCGAGTGTAAACTAAATGAGCCAATGCACATTGGCATGCGATTATTGCATCCAGCTGCTGCTGATCACAGCGTGAGTATAAGTAGGCAGCAGATGCACCGCATATTCAGGTTTTCGCTGAGGAACTGAGCCGGTGACCCAGCCGCTCAGCGGTGGTACAGAGCTGTGGCGACGGGACGTGACGTCTCCGTTCCCTCCTTCAGGGAACGAGGGTTACATACGTAACCGAGACGTTCCCTTTCAGTCGGTCACTCTCGACGTCACGTCGGATGACCGACGAATTGGGATCTCGCTTATCGTGACCATCACCCAGTGCCAGGTAATGACCGCATCCAGAAACGCCCGGGTGATATGTTGTCTATAGCAAGACCCACATCGTCTTTACAAAGACGTAACGTCAAGTTTGCCACGCAACGTCGTCTTTAAAAAGACGCACCCGAAATTGCTCTTTTAGGGAAAAAGCTCTTTTAGCGTGCTGAGGCGCACAGGGGAGATGATCATCTGCAACACAAACAAGGGGTAGTGCAGCCTGATGTGTGCAACCCACTCGACACGGGAAACCACCACCGCTGAAGCGCCGTACCGCCAACACGAAGCTGAACTCGTTCAGTCTTCTTCTCGCAGTAGAGTAGTCAGGAGCAGAACGATGTGAACGCTCGGCTCAGAAGCGAAAAGCTGAATATGCGCTGCATCTGCTGCCTACTTATACTATACTACTTATTATACTATGATCAGCGGCAGCTGGATGCAATAATCGCATGCCAATGTGCATTGGCTCGTTTAGTTTACACTCAAAGTAGATTGGTCTCTCTAAGCGAGATCCCAATTCGTCTGTCATCCGACGTGACGTCGAGAGTGACCGACTGAAAGGGAACTATAATTAGAAATGGGTACTAACAAATTGGTGAGAGAAAAAAGCTGCCATTGAGTAAATTTTTTGATCTGGGTGTTGCTGAGCTGCAAGAATTCAACATAGTATGTCCCTTGAATACCTTGAAGGTGGTGAGGCAATGGTTTGTTTAGGCTGTGTTGTGCCCTAGCCCTTGATTAGTCATTTGTAGTGTTCTTTTCAAGTAGAGCCTGACTCAGCATTTGGCAGGAACACATAATTAAGGCGTGCTTCCTTACTGCCATCCATCCATTCTGTAGCTACTGTTCATCTTATTTTGTTCTAAAAATTTCTTGTGTATTATTTAAACTTTTGTGATTAAAAAAATTGTGATTTAATAAAATCAGTCTTTCATGTTGCTCCCAATTTAATTTTTTGAAAGGATATGTTTTCCGTGTAAATGTTTTCATAGTGCTGATGCATGTTCAGTTCAGATCATCAGAGCCACTAAAAAAAAAATTCTTAAAAAGAAGAAAAAAACATTTATATGCAATTCTCTTCGACTCTTGATTTGAGACTTAACTCCACAGTTTAAATCATGACTGCTAAATCACTGCTGACTCTTCACCCCACCAGTTTGCCTCAAGCGAAATTAAACAGTACTGGCAAGGTACAGAGTAATTCATCTAACCATTTATCTCTCTCTCTCTCTCTCTCTCTTTCCTCTGTCTCTCTCCTTTCCTTCACTCTCTTCCTTTTCCACCAACACTGTTTTCTCGTATACTAATATACATCAAGGCGTTAGGATGTGTTAAGTATTTGTAAGAACTAGATGACTCCGTATAAATACAACAATAAAGGAAGAAATTAAAGAAAAAAAATTCTAAATCACTA